AAACAAAACAAAACAAAACAAAACAAAACAAAACAAAAAAGTGTCTTATTTCCTCTAGGCGAGGGAGGGCTTAGACTTCCAAAAACAAATGCCTGCAACCCTCCCTAGAAAATAGATTAATGTGGGACCAGCTGAGGGTGTGAGCTTATGTCACTGGACCCCCCATGGCCGATTGTAGTTTAAGTCCTGGACCCAGAGGCTTGAAACTCATGCTGGGCATGGGCACATGCATTCCCAAAACTCCTAAGAGGAGAATGGAGGAGAAGGGATTGCAGCATGGCTGTCCTCCTGGGGGGTGATTTTTCTCTTTCTGTCTTCCTGGTGCACGCACATACCCTATAGCAAAAATCTCTCTAAAAAAAAAGAAAAAAAATAGATGAGATGAATGCTTCCATTCCACCTTAAGGAAAGCATCCTACACCCAACCCACTAACCTGTGGGGAAGGCCATGCAGGAAGGGTAGTGCAGTGGTTAAGCCCGGGGACCTCTGGGGCCAGACTGCCAGTGTTTTGATCCAGCACTGCCACCCACTAGCTGTGTAGCCTTGGGCAAGTAATCAGAAAGCAGTCTTTCAAGCCAGCCAGTGGCATGGTGGTTATGGTGGCTGGATCCCATATGGCTGATTGTGTGGTTTCGATCCTGAACCCAGCAGCTTGAAAAAACATGCCAGGTGTGTGTACATGTTTGCCCAAAATCCTGAGAGAACAGAGAAGAGATTGTAGTTGGCCATCCTCCCTAGGTGATTTCCCATTCACTCTCTTGTTCTCTCTCTCTCTCTCGTTCTCTCTTTTTTTTTCCTCTCTCTCTCCCTTTCTGTCTCTCTCTCTCTCTCATTCTCTCTTTTTTTTCCCTCTCTCTCTCCCTTTCTGTCTCTCTCTCTCTCATGAGCATACATGCCCTATAGCAAGAAAAGAAAAGTCTGTCTACACAGTCCAGCCCCAAAGTCCAAGGGCTGTACACAGACTGCCTTTGGGCTAGGAAAGACTCACCCAATCCCCCTTGGCAGTGGGGCACCAGGCTTGGGACAGGACACGGCCTTCCTTCCCTCGGGATCTCAGCTCTCTTGTCCCCTCTGCTGGGTCCCCTTGTGCAGTGACCATCCTGCACACCCTGTCTCATCAGCCTTTCCAAATAAAACTCACTCCTCTGACCTTTCTCAACCCTTCTCTCTAAGCCTGTAGTCACTGTCCTGGCCGACTCCCAGCCCTCCCCAGACAGCCACATCTTACTAAACAAACAACGAAAGTTACTGAGCTCTACCAAAGTTACCAAACTAAAAAAACTACTCCAGAAAAACAGGGCCCCAAGGCATTTTCTGAAGAAGTGCTGTTTGTTCCTGTAGGGTCCCTCAGCTGCACTCCCACGGTGGAAACAGGCCTTCCTGCACGTACCCCGAGATCCCTGAGTCCCACAGCCTGCCTGGCAGAGGGTGCCAGGGGCAAGAAGCTTCGTGAACAGGATGCTGGCAGTGCCTCCTCCCCCGGGTTTTCAGGAACTGAGAGCCAAATCCAGGCATTGTGAAAGGAAGTCTCATGAGTGGTTGGAGCAGTGAGGGCCCTGGTGGGGGCTTGCTGGCTGGGCACAGAGGACAAGTGACAACCCAGGTGACTCCACCCAGCCTGAGTCTATGAAGGAGAAAGCCGATCAGAACCTCTGTGGAGGAACAGGTGTCAGATAGGCCCTCTCTGAGCTCA